TTCTCTCCCAAGACTCGAGTACGATGAGTCCAAAGCTACTGACGAAGTATCGTGCTTCACATTAGATTTGAAGGTTGGGTCTTCCCTGCGGCTTTGGCGTCGAAGGCAAGGGAGCAGCTATGTCGAATTTATTTGGTTTGGGGGGCGGAAGGGCTGCAGTCGGAGGGGCTATCAACAAGTCAGCAAGGGGACATAACAAGCAGGAGCTGAGAAACACCGACCTGCCGTCACCGGGAGATTCTCCTCCAACTCCTTCCTCAGCCTCGCTTCCTCCTCTTCGTGTTCGTCCTCCCATTCCATCCTCCTCTTCTGCAATCTGCCCTCTTCTTCCACAATGCCTCCGTCAAGACCATGTGTAACAGTCCTCCTGCCCAATGGGCTCTCCTTCACTGCTTGCAACTTCCTCAACAACTGGTTCTCATGCGCACTGGAAGCCGCACCACTGGGACCAGTGGGATTGCCCATGAGGAAAGGCTGCCTCGCAGAGCTGAGCAGTGCAGAGATAGGCGAGCCAGGCTGAACGGCCTTTTGGAACTCCTTCTCCTGCTGTGCGATGCTGGTGATGATACTCTTCCTCGCCGCCATGCCTCCCAACGCAGAGGACGGCATCGTCTTTTCTCAGGTGCTTCAAGTTGGTGTCCGACACGAATTCGGATATGTGTTTAAAGTCTGGGGTGCCATCGTGTGCAGAGGGGATGTAGGAGGGGACAGCGCCATGCGTGAAGAATGCGTGGTCAACAATTTCGTGCAGGGTTGGACATTGTGAGGGATTGAGGGTCAAAATCTGTGGAGTGAGGTGTTGGACTGCCCCAGAGATGACGCGGTCTATGGGAAATTTGTATTCGTTGCCGCGGATGCGCCTGAACACATTAAAATGGGAAAATCAAGCATTAGACCAGAAGGCTTACTTGTAAATGGCCTTGACGTCCTTGATCTGGAACGGACGGCGGCCGACAGCAAGTGTGCACAAGATAACGCCAATGGATCACATATTCACCTCGAAGCTGTGTCCATTCGTGATGTCGAGCCATACCTCGGGTGCGACATAATTTGGGGTGCCGCAAATGGTCTTCTTCCTCTCCCCAGGGTTCTCGATGAAAGCCACAAGGTCAAGGTCACCAACATTGATGTTCATGTTCCCATCGGGA